ATAATTTTTCATCTACCTTCAAGGGATTTTAATTTTATTCGTAACAAATTCTTCGTATATTTGTGTTTCGTAAGAATTAAATTACAACACACTACACTGAGCGAGAATAGAAATAATTAAATTGTTTTCTTCCACGTTCAAAATACCTGGCTACTTTCGAAATTGGGGCGGCACGGTTGAGTAAGGATTAGCGGCTCTAATTGAGGAATCAGAGAGCTGAGTTCGAATTCCAGTCGAATCCATTACATTCTCTTACTGCTAGTACCCTTAAGGAAACTGGCATTTTCAGAGACACGAACCAAAGAAGAATCCCAGATCAGAAATTTCTTATACTCGTGTTTTGCAATCGAGGGTCATTTTTGATTTATTCAAGTCAAAGATCAAGTTTAATCTATTCAAGTCAAGGATCAACCTTGACCTATTCAAGTCAAGAGTCAATCTTGACTTCTTCAAATCAAAGATCAATCTTGACGTCTTTAAGTCAAAGGTCAATCTTGACTGCTTCAATTCAAAGATCAATCTTGACCTCTTCATGTCAAGAGTCAAACTTGACCTGTTCAAATAAGGAATAATTTTGAATTCTTCAAGTTAACGGCCTATCCTTATCTCTCCATAATATCCTCATAATTTCTAGCCCCACTTCTTGCTTGTCATCTATTCTTATTGCACTTTTTTTTATTAATATTCCGATTGCAACCCTCTATCCTGAGTTGGTCTCGATCCTTTTATTGTATGATATTTATTAAAAGAACTGTATCTATCCTTCCCGATGTATTCTGCATATGCATTTTCCTAATCTATTCTGCAAATGCATTTTAATATGGTCCTTAACCATGAAGCATACCCCCAATAAAATATATTGATATTTTTTTCTATCTCAGTCATGTTCTCATTGCAAACAATACTTTCTTCAAACAATGTAATTCTAAAAATGAATTTTATTCTTTAAAGTCGAAACAAAATAAAACTTTTTCTTCGCTATTTCCAATTTTCCGCAACAAAATTTAATATAAAATCATATTTTTGGTATCAGCAATTCTATATAAAACCCATTTAACTGATTTTAATTAAATTTTATTTTCTTTCAATTGATTTGAAATTAATTGTTTTTCTTTTATAATTTTATTGCCTTTTGGCTAAAATATCCTCTTCTGGAATATTCGGCTTTATTGTAAATATGATTTTCTCAAGACATCATCTTCTACAACTCTCTCTACCCCACACACTCCCTTTCTTTCTTTGATGAGATTTCAAGAGTTTGTTGATCATGGCTCTCTCCAGTTTCCTTTAATTTTAATATTTAAATTCAGATTAATGTGTATGTCTCTGTTTTTTATAGATTAAGTAGCGAATTAAGTCAAGATACGCCTTAAGAGCCACTGAAGCTAGCGATTTTGAATTAAAACTGTAATGATAAATGCGTTGTGTTATATGAATGAACGTGTAGGTGATAGAGAATGTAGATCATGAGGATAATAGGGATAGATAACGACAGATACTTGAACTAAAGAGGTTTAGATTATAGTTGTCCGCAAAATGCCTACACGGTAATCTTTTCCAGTAACCGTCAATCCTTCGAAAAAAAGTTGTCTGAGTGCAATATTATTTTTTTATAATTGAAACATGAAGGTAATATAGTGGGGCTAACCTGGTTGAAGTAGTTGTACTTATCCTAGTTGTGAAACACTAAGCAAGTGTAACTAAAAATGAAGCGTATTATGCTAATAGTAGTATAAGTACCCCCATAAAAGCGTTTCGTCTTTTATGCTCTACGCCTTACTTTAGGTGTTTGTCGATCCGTGTAAATCTCAATTTTTTTTTAAAAAAGAACCATTTATTTAATCCTAGGAGATTGATTATTCAGTTTCATATGGTCAGTTTGAAAACACACTGGGAAGGATAGATACAGTTCTTTTAATAAATATCACGCAATACAAGGATCGAGACAGACTCAGGATAGAAGGTTATAATTGAAATAAGATAAAAAGTATAAGTCCTCAATACAGGAAAAAATTTGATAATAAAAAAAAAAATTAGTATATTTGTCCGAATATGAATAAGATAAGATTTAGTCTTGGTCTGGGTTGATAATTAAGGTTATTTATTTATTAGTTTGTGTTAATTTATTTGCTTTTCATTTTCATTTTGTATTATTTATTCTTTTCGGGTTTTGATGTATTAGTAACGTATTAAAAAAATAAAATGGGGTCGGGTGCTTAGGTCGCTTATTTCCCATCGACAGACACCTGCAGATTATCTGTGAGCACAATGGCAGAAAACTGTGATAACAAGACAGATGAGTATATGAGTCCGATTGTGACTAAAAAGTATAAGTCCTTAATACAGAAAAAAAATAATAATAAAACAAATGAGTATATTGGTCCAAAATATGAATAAGATAAGTATAACTCTTCAATACATAGCATCCGGACATTTATAGACTTACAACAACACTATTTTTTTCTATTCTTCCTCTGTTGGATGTAAATGATAATTTATTTCAACCATTTCTGAAAGCTTTTGATCGTTAGCCATATCCTCTATATGGCTTCTGTTTACATCTTCATTTCTCACATTTACAATTTATATAATTCGTTCGTTGTGCTCTTCGTTGTGATGCAACGGTTAGCAAGATTTTCCTGCATTATCAATTACAACTGAGTAATGAGATCGATTTTCACTTGGTGCTTCATTCGCTCGGCTTTGTGCTAAATCTAAGTTTCGCTTAGAAAATCACTATAACATTAGTAATTCTTCAAGCTTCTTTATTTTGACCCCTATTCTCTACCACTGGAGACCAAATCGAGGATTGGACACCCCACAGCCGACCAATACTCCGTTCTATCTTTAACTAGATACTTCGTGATACTTGAATTCTTTACTTAATTGCTGAAAAAATATGTCGCTATTTCTATTTGCCTTCGGGCTCAGCTGTTACGACCTTATGTTCTCCAACCTTTGACCTGTTAGTATTTAGCCTAATTTCAAAATGTCCCTGTTGCATACTAAAATAGTTTCTTTTTTACCTATTTTAATTTCTTTTTCAAATGAAGGTCGTCCTAAACGGGTTATCGTTCAATTCTTTCACACTGCCGCTGGTGTTACCCAAGAATTTATCTTGGATTCTACGCTGTTTCTGATCTTCAATGATATTCTTGATGTCATCAGTTCTGTAGTAGGCATATACGCAGAAGACACTACCATTTACTCTTGTCTTAATAGTAACTCCGACATTGCTGATAGTTAACCTGGCAGTTGGTCTCGAAAAGAAACTCCAATCCCTGATTGACTTGGACAGGAAATGGCTTGTTAATTTTAATGCATCCAAAACGAAACTGCTGTAAACATAGAGAGAAATCCCTGCCCGCTATCAGCATGGATGATCCTCAACTTCACGAGAGCTTCTCTCTGTGCCTTCTGGGTCTTACGTTTTCCACTAATCTGAGATAGAGCAACTACCTTGAATCAATACATACGTCTCCCGCAAGGATAGTTAGTTCTCTGTGTCGCACAAAAACTTCATGTCTTATTTTTAATTAGAAATACGTCTCTAGAAAGAACTTCTTAGTAAATGACTAATGCTGTATACGAATTTGATTTATTTTGTATGACTCTGTTTCTGTTAATATTAATAAAAAATATAATATGCATTGATCACACCACGGCATTTGAATGGACCCAGCAAATAAAAGAAAGAAAACCTTATTTTTATTATTACTATATCGCCATTATATTCTTTGTCCTATCTGAACGTGTAGTGGGATGACCAAAGGCGGATTCTAAAAGCTAGGTAGAGTATTACGAGACAGGGGGATTTCCTTGCTAACAAATAAAAGAGTACTGAGCTGCTATGTGACATCTGTCTTCCTTTGCGGCAACGAATGTTGAACGGTCTCCTCAAAGATGAAGAAGAGGCCCGAGGCAACGGAGGTATGGTTCTACAGAAGGATGCTAAGGATATCATGGACCGAGCGTATGAGCAATGATGAGGTTTGGAGAGAATGCAAACAAGGTGGAAACTTATACTTAACATCAGGAAGATGCAGCTGAAATTTCTGGGACACGTAATGAGAACGGAAGGCTTGGAGAATTTGATACTCAAATGTCGAATAGATGGAAAGGGAGACAAGGGAAAGCAACGCATGACATTCTTGGCGGGATTGAGCAAGTGGATGACAGAACGAGGTGTGGTGGTGACAGACAGACGAATATTATTGAGAGCTTCATGGAATAGGGAGAAGTGGAGAGCCATGATCACCTACATTCTGAAAGGATATGTTACTTAAAAAGAAAGTAAACCTTATTTTTATTATTACTATATCGCTATTATATACTTTGTCCTATTTGAACGTGTAGTGGGATGACCAAAGGCGGATTCTAAAAGCTAGGCAGAGTATTACGAGACAGGGGAATTTCCTTGTTAACAAATAGACTGAGCTGTTATGTGATATTTATCCTCCTTTACGGCAATGAATGTTGGGCGGTTTCCTCAAAGATGAAGAACAGACTCGAGGCAACCGAGGTATGGTTCTACAGAAGGACGCTAAGGATAACATGGTGAGCGTGTGAGCAACGATGAGGATTTGGAGAGAATGAAAAAATGAGGAAGCTTATAGTTATCAAACGGGAGAGGTAGCTGTAAATTCTGGGACACGAAGGAGAACGAAGGGACAAGGGACAGCAACACCTGATTTAACGGGATTAAGCAATCGGATTTCAGAACAGGGTGGGAGAAATATAAAAAGTCAAATCTTATTAAAATCCACAAAGGAAAGGATGAAAGGCACAGCCATGCTCGCCTACGTCTAGAAGGGACACGACACAGAAGAAGAATGTCGAATTAAAAGCACATACACACACACAAACATGTTGCACTGACGCCATGATATAAATAAAGATACAATGCCTTCTGGTTTAACGTTATCCCAACAAATAGAGATATATTACAAAAGGGATATTTTCAACGATATGCTGGGAATGATGATTCCCATAAGATATAGAATCTCTCTCTCTCTCTCTCTCGATCGCTCGATCGATCGATCGATCACTCTCTGTATTGGTGCCCCAGTCTATTTTTTCTGAGTTACTATCTATGTTCTCTCTTTTTCTCTAATTTTCTATACATGTCTCTCTCTGTCTCTGTCTCTCTGTCTGAGTTGCTAACTCTATTTACCCACATCTCTCTCTTGATTGCTACCACAGATTTTCTTCCTCTTTTAGTCCGAGTTGATTTTTCCGTTCTCTTTCTTTCTTTGATTCGCAATACGTATTTACACACTCTCTATCTCTCTCTCTCGCTCTCTATCTCTCTCTCTCGTAGTAACTAATCTGTTTCTCTCTCTCCCTTTCTGAATGGTTACCACTATTTATCTCGCTATCTCTCCCTGAATTGTTATAATCACTCTCTCTCTTTCTCTCTCTCTCTCTATCCTTCTTTTTCTCTCCATCTGTCGTCTTCTCCGAGTTGCTATCCCTGTTTGTTTTTTTCACTTCCTCTCTCTTACTCGCTATCCCTCTTTTTTCTTTCTGTCTCTCCCTGAGTTGCTATGCCTCTTTTTTTTATCTCTCCCTCTACTCACTCTCTCCTCAAGTTGCTAATCCTGTTTCTCCTCCCACTCTCTCTCTATCTTTCTCTCTATCTCTTACTGAGTTGCTATGTTTCGTTTTCTCTCCATCTGTCCTCTTCTCCGAGTTGCTATCCCTGTTTGTTTTTCTCACTTCCTCTCTCTTAATCGCTATCCCTCTTTTTCTTTCTCTCTCTCCCTGAGTTGTTATGCCTCTTTTTTATCTCTCCCTCTACTCACTCTCTCCTCAAGTTGCTACTCCTGTTTCTCCTCCCTCCCCCTCTCTCTCTCTTTCTCTCTATCTTTTACTGAGTTGCTATCTTTCTTTTTCTCTCCATCTGTCCTCTTCTCCGAGTAGCTATCCCTGTTTGTTTTTCTCACTTCCTGTCTCTTAATCGCTGTCACTCTTTTTTTTCTTTCTCTCTCTCCCTGGGTTTCTACGCCTCTTTTTTTTATCTCTCCCTCTACTCTCTCTCTCCCCTTAAGTTGCTACTACTGTTTCTCCTCCCTCCCCCTCTCTCATTCTTTTTTCTCTCTTACTGAGTTGCTATCTTTCTTTTTCTTTCCATCTGTCATCTTCTCCGAGTTGCTATCCCTGTTTGTTTTTCTCACTTCCTCTCACTTAATCGCTATCCCTCTTTTTTCTTACTCTCTCTCCCTGGGTTGCTATGCCTCTTTTTTATCTCTCCCTCTACTCTCTCTCTCTCCCCACAAGTTGCTACCCGTATTTCCCTTCCCTCCCTCTCTTTCTCTCTCTCTTACTGAGTTGCTATCCTTCTTTTTTCTCTCCATCTGTCCTCTTCTCCGAGTTGCTATCCTAGTTTGTTTTTCTCACTTCCTCTCTCTTAATCGCTATCCCTCTTTTTTCTTACTCTCTCTCCCTGGGTTGCTATGCCTCTTTTTTATCTCTCCCTCTCCCCAAGTTGCTACTCCTGTTTCTCCTCCATCCCTCCCTCTCTCTCTCTCTGAGTTGTTACTCCTGTTTCTCTCCAGTTTCCTCTCTCTCCCACGCTATGTTATATTTAGAGTTTTAGTGATCAAATATAAAATCCATGTTCAAAATGTTGATATGATTGGGAAATGCCAATTCTTGAAATTTCCGATGTCCTACGTACAAAATATAGCCACACAAAAACAACTGGATTTGAAACTTTACTCACAGGTTTTGTCCGCACCTTTTTCACCAGAATCCTCTAAGTTTATACACATTTTACCAGATGTATGTTCTTCACTAGCTATTTTTTTAAAACTTTTCTTTAAATGTCAGGAGGCCAGATTCTTCCGACAAGGCGCTGATAAACGGCTCTTACTCAAAACTCAATTTAAAGGCTCGCATAAGGAAGCTGAACGCAGGTCATTATTCTTGGAATCGCAGGAGTTAAGCACAACTCTTTCACTGTATGGTGCCGTTTACTCTATCGGCATTTGCACTGCGGCACGCACTTATCTTCTTCATCTGACAGACCAGCGCTGGTTCATTTGTTTCGAAGTTAAACGCTGAGCCATGGGCTCATCTATTCTCTTTTGTGGCCTCTTGCTTTGAGATGTTTGTTAGTACATTTGTCTTCGCTATTCGTTGTTTCTTTTTACCTGTATTTTTGTTGTTTTCTTGTTTTTTTTAAACTAATACCTTGCTTTCTAGGTTTGTTTTATCTCACGTTTCAGTTAATCTACTTTTCTTGCTGCAGTCTCCCAAATTTTCCAAACATTGCTACAATATGGACATTTTTTTTTTACTATTCTTTTTTAAGATAAGAATCTATAGTATCGGCTGAACATTTGTCTTCTTTTCGTCTTCTTCCTCTTTTTTATTTGCCTTTGTTTTTGGCTTTTCCTTTTATATACTCGTCCCATTTTTAAAGATTTTGCGTGCCTCTCTCCATATTTCTGAGATGAAACATTCTAGCTATTTACATTATTTTCTGTTGCCCTTATCTTTACTGCCACATTGACGATTTTTAGCTGGTCTACGCTCCGGTCGTCTTCAGGTGACATTTGTTGCAATGTAGAACCTAACCATAAACTACATACGCGTCCTGGGTAAGACGATAAACTATGTCCAACAGCAAGTCCTCTGATCACGAGGTTTTGAGAAGTGTGGGACCACCTCTTAATTGCTGGTGTTCGAAGGTCGACTCAGAGTGGTAGCACTTGCCAGGATCCAAACTATGGGCATATAATCAAACCACTAAAAGGGGTCAAAACATTACGAAAATATAGAAATAGATTTTAATACTAGCAATAATTTTTTGGAGGAAATTTAATACCTGCAATACATTATTACCAGCAATAAATTTTAGAAGCAAAAAAATTAATAGAAGCAATTCATTTTTAAGAAAAAATGTGACCAGCAATGCATTTTTGACCTGAAAAATTTGACCAGCAGTGCATTATTAAAGGGGAAAAATGTGGCCAGAAATGCATTTTTGAAAGGAAAGAATATGACCAGCAATGTATTTTTGAAGAGAAAAAATGTGACCAGCAATGCATTTTTGACCCAAAACATGTGACCAGCAATGCATTTTTAATGGGTAAAAATGTGGCCAGAAATTCATTTCTGATGGCAAAAAATATGACCAGCAATTAATTTTTGAATGGAAAAAATATGTCCAACTATTCATTTTTGAACGGTAAAATGTGACCAGCAATGCATTTTAAAGGGAAAATATGTGACCAGAAATGCATTCTTGATGGGGAAAAATATGACCAGCAATGAATTTTTGAAGGGAAAAAATCTAACAATGCATTACATAACTGGATGATAGGAAAAAAAAGAGAGGAAAAGATTGTCATTTTGTCTCTCAAAATAGCAACTCGCATGATGCTTGAGATGCATGATAGAATCATTTTTATAAGAGACAATTCGGGTTCTTGTGTTACACGAGTCTCTACGGAAATTATATTTTTCTAGGATCTAAAACGAGGACAGGGAACTTAGAGAATATGAAACTCAAAGGGCATTTTAAATTCAAAAAGGACAGGAAGAAATTACAAGTAACCCATATTACTGGGTTGTATAAATGGATTGCAGAACAAGGGGGAGTAATTGAATAAAATGTATTAAGAACATTTGTGGAGAGACATTACTCTGAAGGGTCAACGCAATCAAGAGAAGAAAAATGATACATGACTTTGATCTTCACTTTCGCTTCATCCCAGGATTTCTACGAAAGTTTTCACTATTCAAATACTATTACAAGAGATTTGTTTTTTCTCTGAATTTATCAAACATGTTACTTTCTTCGTCACATTCACTTCACAACCCATCTTCAAGCGCCATAAACTGAGACTTCGGAAATTACATTCAAATGATTATCATTTGTTTTCATTTACCTTAGAGCGGACAAAACATTCAACGAAGTCGCGCAAAATGCGTTGCCATCATTCTAATATTATTTTTATTTATTTATTTTTATTTTTTTGAATAGCTGGGCATAATTTATTTTATATCTCGATAAAACGTGAAGACTCTAACAATTTCAGAAAGAACGTCTATTTGTTAATAGTGGAAAAGTGAAATAAAAGCCATTACCGTAAAACATAAAAGAAAAAAAAAGATAGTGACTTATAAAAGGTGGGTCTAAAGTCTGAAACAATAACTATAATAATTATATTTTATTTTACCTCGACAGATTAAACATCGTCTTGGTGATAGAAGAAAGAACTGAATTCTTTTTCTGGTGTGTTCTAAAAGAGAGGGTTTACTTAATAGAAGTAACACACTTGATTTAATGGGTAAATAGTGAATGTGCTAAAATTGACAGCAATGTAGAGTTATTGCATCGTGTTCACGTGACTCTTGCAATGCGAATCAAACTTTGCATCACAAAAAATGGAAACCATTATGGAGATGTTATTTGTTAATATTCCAATTCAATATGTTGTTGAAAATTCCATTTCTTTAAAATTTACATTTTGGCCAAAACTTTAGGGACACACTGTAGAGTGGAAGGTCTCATAGTATGGGTAATAATAATAATAATAATAATGGTTTTCGAAATAATTAGTAGAATTACATTCGTGAATTGCAGTCATGACATTAAATTGATTTCGATGGTGCTATAAACGTGTCCTTGACACTTTTGAACAGATTCACCGCTTTTAAATGACGTCTTTTTTCTGCTAATACTGTCATCGCAAATACAGAGAAGGTGCTCGAAACGACCAAGTCAAGATCTTGTCGGATTGCAACATCGGAAGAGACCTTGCAATCATGGCAAAAAGGAACAAAAAATGCTTCCTCATAGATTTGACATTTCCTGTTGACCATAATATAAAGGTCAAAGAAATTGACAAGCTTAAGAAAGGCACCGACTTCCGTGCTGATGATGCCAGAAAAATGGGACGTTCAGGCTACACTTGTTCCAGGTATCATTGGAGAGTTGAGGTCTGCAATAACGAACTTATATTGCTTCACTGAGAAACTCGGAATAAAAATAGTAACCGATCGCTTCAGAATTGTGCATTATTTGGCACTCCAAATACTCTGGAAAAGTCTCTCTCTCTCTCTCTCTCTCTCTCTCTCTCTCTCCCTCTCTGGTCGCATAACTTGATGGAGAACCACCATAAATAAGATCGATGGCTGAAAATGAAATCCCTAATATGAAGATATACTACTACTACTACTACTAATAATAATAATAATAAATAATAATTCTTGAACTTGTCAAAATATTACGTCTTTTCATTAATTATTTTCTTCTTTTTCTTCTTCTTCTTCTTCTTCTTCTTCTTCTGCTGCTGCTGCTGCTGCTGCTATCCTTCCTCTTTCTTTATATTCTTTTTCTATTTCTCCGCGTCCACTTCTCCTCCAAGTCTTTTTCTTCTTTTTCTCCCACTTTTATTTCTTTGCTTCGTCGTCATAATTCTGTCATTATTTTCTAGCTGCTGCTTCTTCTTCTTCTTCTTCTTCTTCTTCTTCTTCTTCTTCTTCTTCTTCTTCTCATCCTTCTTCTTCTTCTTCTTCTCCTCATCCTTCTTCTTCTTCTTCTTCTTCTTCTTCTTCTTCTTCTTCTTCTTCTTCTTCTTCTCTTCCGTGTTGTTACTCGTCCACCTGCTCCTTCTCCCATTGCTACTAATAATAATAATTAAAGCATCTTTATCTTGAATGCAAGCAACGGCATGATAAAGTGGGCTCACATCTGCATAGGTGACAATGTCGGAAGTATAAATGAAGTTGACGGGAAACTCTTCCGCTACCAATATATAGAAAGTGATCGAAAACGACCAAATCAAGATCTTGTAGGATTTCAACATCAGAAGAGACACCTTCCCTGAGGACAACAAATCAAATATCGCAATCATTTACAAAGGAACAAGACGATGCCTCCTTATTGCCTTGACTCTTCCTCTTGATCATATGAAGATCAAAGAAACTGACAAGCTTAAGAAATGCACCGACTTCCGGGCTAAAGTTGCCAGGAAATGGAACGTTTCGGCCACACCTGTTCCAGTTATCATTGAAGCGTTGTGGTCTGCAGTGCCATAATTATAAAAATAGCATCCGATCGCTTCAGAAGTGGGCATTATTTGGCACTGCAAATAATCTTGAAAATGCGTTCTGAGTCTAAGGACGTACATGATGGAGAAAGTCCACCACGATGAAAATAATAATAATAATAATAATAATATAATAATATGGTCTTCTAAAACTACAACAACTGGCCTTCAAAGATTTCTAGAACCTAAAAAAGAATGGACGATGATCTATGTCAAAGAACATGAAAGTAGTAAGCGACTTTATTCAGTAATAAAGGAAGCCTACAAAATCAAAATAGAGTTTCAAATGGGTAAAGAAATACATGCAAAGCATAATACACGGACTGAAGCTGCAAAATACTTAAAAAAGAAAGAAAAGTCAAATGCAAGCGACCAGATACCAAAACGACCAGATACAGAATTGATGGTATGATAAACGGCTACGCGGTCAATACTCTGCCCGTATCACACAAGCTGATGTAGACTCACCCCGTACCCATCACTGGCTACGTAGTGTAGGGCAAAAAGCTAAAACCGAAGACTTTATCCTTACTGCACCGGAACAATGCTTGGTAACTAGAAATTATTAAACATACTAAAAAATTGTGTCAGCCCAAAATATGATAAATATCCAGAAACAATTAATCATATCGTATTAGGTTGCAAGTTATTGGCACCCACTGAATATAAAATACGGCATGACAGAATGGGCCAATACCTGCATTGGAAATTCTGCAACACTTACGGAAAGGAAACTACAATTGGTATGAACACCACCCAAATGGGGCAAATATCAGGAGACCATAGACCATCTAATCTCAGTATTTGCGCCAAATTAATTTCAAGATCGTCACGATGGAATAGGGCATTATTTACACTGGTCAAAGTGAAAACACTTTAGTTTAATGTGTTAACAAACTGGTATGTACATTACCCAGCTCCGGTTACAGAAATAGAAGAGATCACAATTCTATGGAATTACGCCATCTGTAGAGAGAGGAAGCCATATTTGCCAAAACCGGAAATAAAAAAAAATTACTATTAATTGATATGGCTTGCCTAGGGGACTGTAACATAGCAACCAAGGAATTTGAAAAAAAAGTATAAATAACTGGAAAACGAAATAGGAAAAATGTAGTAAATGAAAACAAGTATAGTACTAGTCATAGAAGGAGCGCTTGGAATGATAAAAAAGGAAAACAGCAACACATTCGAAACCTACCTGGAAATCTCAACGTAAGAGAAATACAAAAAAAAGTCTTCTGTCTTCATAATTACAGTCGACACACTAACAAGTTTGTCCGTGTAATACTATTGATCTTATGGGAGTTGGAAAAAACAAATCATGAAATGTAGCCATAACAACACACCAATGCCTAACTTAGGTCTTCCCGCAGACTTGGTAGTTAGTATGATCATAATAGAAATAGAATAATAATAATAATAAGAAGAAGAAGAATAATAATAATTTTTGCCAAAAAATTTTCCTCCTCTTTCTATAATTCTTTATAATATTGAAATATATCTCTTTTTTTGTTCCCTTCTTGTTCTTTACCTTATTTTACTTTTGCTTTTTACAGATGCCATTCCTCACCTCCTGCTTTAGTTCACCTTCTTTTATTCTTTTTTTTCTTCTTTTTTGTTCTTATTCTTGTCTTGCTTGTTCTCGGTCTTTTTCTTCTTCTTTTTCTTCTATTTTTCTTCTTATTCTTTTTCTTTTCCTGTCTTTTTCTTCTTCTTTTTTCTTCTATCCATTCTTCTCGTTCTTTTCTTTCCTGATTTCTTCTTTTTTCTTCTTCTTTTCGTTTTTTTTTCTTATAATCTTTATCATTCTCCTTCTTTTCTTTTCTTCTTCTTCTTTTTTTTCTCTTCTTTTTGTTCTCATCTTTTCTTTCTTTTTTCCTTCTTTTCTTCTTTTTTCCTGCTTTCTTCTTCTTCTTCTTCTTCTTCTTTTTTTTTCACTTTTTTCTTCTTTTTTCTTATCTTTTCTTCTTCTTTTTTCTTCTTTTCCATTCTTATTCTTGTTCTTGTTGTTCTTCTTTTCTTCTTTTTTCTTCTATCCATTCTTCTCGTTCTGTTTCTTTTCCTGCTTTCTTCTTCTTCTTCTTCTTCTTTTCTTTTACTTCTTTTTCTTCTTTTTTCTTATAATCTTTATCATTCTCCTTCTTTTCTTCTTCTTCTTCTTCTTCATTTTCGACCTGTCCTTATCTTCTTGTTTCTTTCTATTTTCCCTTTACTTCTTTTTCTCCCCATCCCCATTCTTTCTTCTTCTTCTTCTTCTTCTTTTCGTTCCAAAAAAAAAATCTTTATCACCTTTTCTTCTTCTTCTTTTCTTTTTCTTCTTTTTTTGATGTCCGTTCTCATTTTTTCATAAATTTCCTGCGTTCTTCTTTTTTTCTTCTTCTTTTCTTCTTTGTTGATTTTCTTCTTTTTTCATAAATTCTTTCATCTTCCTTTTTGTTCTTCTTTTCTCAGTCTTTTCTTCTTCTTTTTCTTCTTCTTCTTTTTCTTTTCTTTTTCCTCTTTCTTCTTCTTCTACTTTTTTCTTCTTCTTCTTTCTTTTAATTCTATTTTTTTTTCTTTTTCTCTTTCCCTTTGAATCTATTTTCCCTTCTCTGCTTCTCATTCATATTTCAACGCCCTTCTTATTCTTTAAATGTGTTCATCTTTTTCTTCTTCTTCCTTTTTCTCCTCCTCTTAATCATCGTCCATTCCCTCCTCTTTTTTCTTCGTCCTCTTATTTTTCTCAATTTCCTCTTACGCTTGTCCTCCCCTCTCCTCTTTATCATCCTCCATTTTCTTCTACTTCTACTTGTCCTTGTTCTTCTTCTGTTTGTTCTTTCTTTCTTTCTTTCTTTCTTTCTTTATTTATTTATTTATTTTACTCTCCTCCTCCTGGTTAATATACTTCACTTCCAATAATTCTTCTGGCTACGTTTCTTATACTTCTCCTACCGCTATTTCTATTACTACTCCTACTACTTCTACTGCTACTACTACTACTATCACTCCTCTTTCTCTTTCTCCTTCTTCTTTAGTTCCTATTGATGTTCCATTGTATAGATTATTATTGATTTACCTACCTTCAACATTCTTTCACAGTTTCTCACTTCATTCTCAAAATCCCTCTCCATCAATTCACTAGTTCTTCATTCTCATTTTTCAAATAGGATTTTTTCCCGTCTTCTTGATTCTCCTCTTAAGTCGAATAATGGTTTGTTATCGTCACGTACAAGAACAACAGAACGAAGACCGGACAGGAAAATGAAGCTGTTGCGATCTCCACACGTCAATATACAGTTGATCTTAGAGCATCTTGCCCACCAGGCCACACAGCAGTGCTATTTTCAATTGCAGTGAAAAACGAACAGGGCGATGGTGAAAGTGGTGAAGTCCGAATTGTACATCATGGAGAGGGGCGAAATGATTGATCTGGAGAGGACATTTTCAATATTTCTCTTCTCGTCTCTGGCCGACCAAATTTTCAACAACCGTACTTGCTAAGTTTGTTAATGTTTCTAAACAAAATACATTTGATAGATCTTAGTAATAATTCTCATATATATATATATATATATATATATATATATATTGTTAATATTAGTGGTCAATATATATATATATATATATATATATATATATTATTAATATTAGTGGTCAATATATATATATATATATATATATTGTTAATATTATTGGTCAATATATAAATATATATATATATATATATATATATATATATATATAAATTAACTGATTCAAAATATGGTTTCTTCGCTACACAGGAATGATGATCATGTTTCAAAATCCGACGCTAAAATCTTCAAATTAAAAGCATCAGTTCTGCTTAATCTTCAAGCCAATTTTGGAATAACTTATTTTTTTATTTTTATTTACTGAGATTTAAACGCACATACAATTCATAATTTTTTGTTTCCAAAGATACAGATATATATATATATATATATATATATATATATATATATATATATACAGACAAATTACCAAGAGGATAGAATTCAGGTAGAACGCAATGTCCAGGACAGAGTAAGAATGTAATATAGAAGGCTCAAACACTAATATGCCATGGTTAGCATTGATTACATTGGATGATTTGGATCGTGATTACGATTCCAATGTAATAAGTTATAACTATGGAATATTAGTGTCTCAGCCTTTATATATATATATATATATATATATATATATATATATAATTTCGGCTTTGTGCCACGGTATATTTGTATATGTATGTATGTGTGTGTATATATATATGTGTGTGTGTGTATATGTATATATCTGTATGTGCCCTATTTTATTGTGTATTCATATTTATATTTAAGTATATTTCTGTTTGTATGAATATGTTTATATATTTGTATGTAAGGGTATATGTATATTGGTGTGTGCTGGTACTTGAATGTATATTTATGTATGCATATGTAAGTACGTTTATATATGTATTTGGTTGAGTGTTGTTGTATTTATATGTATGCATGTATATATTGGTACTTGTTATTATAGATAGATATATTTATATATATGTTTATTTGTAGATATGTATGTATGTGTATATATATTTATGTATGTTTGTGGATGTATATGTGTGTAGTGACACCTATTATGTATGAGTTTGTTTGTGTGTATATGTCGGTATGGAAACTTTGGTATGTCATTAGTGCCACAGTAGTTAGTCTATGTGTATATATATGTTAATATATGTACTGGTGTATGTATTTATACTGGGGCATATATTTATATATGTGAGTATGTGTGCATAAAAATGTGTGTATATATGTGTGTATTTATGTTTATATGTATATATGTGTGTATTTGTACTTGTCATCATAGATATACATATATGTGCGTATATTTTTATGTTTATATATTTATATGTACGTATTTCTGTATGTTTATGTATGTGTGTATGTTTATGTGTGTTAATTTGTGTTTGCTGCCGCGTGTGTATATATGTATATGCATATGACTGTACACTTATTTCTGTGGGTTTCTTTATCCTGTTTTTCTTCGCCTAATATATAATGAAACTATTATCAACTTATATGGTTAAAATATATTTTTATTGATATTTGTGGTTTTAGAATTTTCGTTTTTATATATTAAATAATATTATTTTTAACCATTTTTATCTTTGTATATTTGATCCCTTAAGTTATAATTTAATAAGCGGTAAGCATTTATTTAATGATACTTTAAGTCTTAAATATTTATTGGTTGTGGTATCTGATTGTCTAGGTCATTGTCTGTGGATGTGTGTACGTGTATTTATCGGTGTCTATGTGTATATAGAGTGCATTCACATTTAATTATGTGCGTGTATAGGTGTTGGTTTCCCCGTTTCCTTTTTTCATAAAGGGTTGTAGAGATGTTCCTGTCTCGTTTCCCTTTTTTTTTCTTTTTTTTTTGTGTGTATATATATATCTAAATATGTCTGGGTGCTTATGTATTATAATCTGATTGTGTTTTTGTTGTTTTGCGCGTGAGTTTAAGACCACATTCACACACTTTAGAATAAAAGTTATATATGCATGTATTGTCAAATGACAGGATATATTGTAGCGTCTTGTCGAACGTAATTTCAACGAAGAAATAAATTGAATAAACATATATATTTTTTCTTTTCTCAATAATTTTGTAGTTTTTAAACTTAATAGTCATTAAATTTGGATTTTAAAATTGCCAGTTTTTAATTTTAATATTAAATTTTATCATTATAATTTTGTAATTATTGGTTAGTATAAATTATTTTTAATATTACCCGTATTTTAAAGAGCTGAATAGCTATTATAACATGATTTCGTTGACAAGCTTTTGAATCTTTCTATACTTGGTTTTTGATTGGTTATTTTAGCTTTTGTAACAATGTTTCCCCCTAATGTAGGATCGTTAATTAATCTGAAACTTTTAAAACCATTTATTTTCTTTAACATCATCACTTGATAAGACACCGAGGGTGTTGAAACAAAATGGCTATTTTTGTAGTGATTTTATAACATACTTATGTTATAATTTTTTTATAAATAATAATTATATCTGCTCTACTTTGTATTGAGCACTCTTTTAAGAATAGTAATTGTTGGTTATTGGAATTTATTCTTATATACCAATTATATACTTGTATATATATATATATATATATATATATATATATATATATATATATATATATATATATGAAAGGTATTCCAATAACTTGGACCGATTTTAAATGGGAATTAGGTTTAAGCATTTAATGATTTGTTTCTTTTTTCTTAATGTTCACATATAATTGCCATGATTTAAATAACTTGATCGAATAAAGAAATAAATAAATTATCACCAGTAACACTGATTTATTTGCTACTGACTTTGATCCGTTTTAATGAAGCACCTTATATATAATACGTCTCAATGAGACACGCTTAAACTGTCTTAATGGGAACGGACAAGACTGCCTCAAGAAGATGGGTTACACTTTCAATTCCTGACGCAGAAGATATATTTTCTACGATATTTCTCGAACATTCAAACCTGAAAATGTAATTAATACTGTTTAATTAAAAACAGAGCATTTACTAAGATAAATTATATCTATAAATATAACGTATAAAGAGAAAATATATTAAGTAACTGTTGGTTTATATATATATATATATATATATATATATATATATATATATATATGAAGAAAAATATACTGAAAAAACAAACAAATGTCCTAATATGCGATTATGCTGTTTTAATGTTTAATGTCAACGTCGGACGTTTCGGTCTAATAGACCATCTTCAGAACATATTCATAAAACATATAAGTTTTAGATCAAAATAAAATTCTTTTTGTCTTTCATTCAAAATACTCAAATTTTAGGAATACGTTTTCACAACATCGCCCACGTGACGACGACGTGATCATATTTAAACGGAACCCTGATCTTATAAAAGATTTCAGTTATCTGTTTGGATTGGTATTGCTTTTATGTCCATCGACTTTTTCATGTTGAATTGTATATGGTTTATGTTAATTATGTTTTATGTGTGTGTGTGTGTGTGTGTATTATTATTATTATTATTATTATTTCTCACCGGTAGCATGATTCGAAGTTTCATGCACAATCTTCCAGTGCTGGGGAGAGACTGACCGTTAGATGTCTCTCCTCATCACCTGAATATTGTTGTGAATGGAACTCGGAGTCAGGCTAACGGTTATGAGTAATTCATATATTTATTAATATATAATATTTAATAGCTCTGATATATTATATCGAGCGCTATATTATACAAATCACTCAATGTGCATATATATATATATATATATATATATATATATATATATATATATATATATATATACCACATTTTTACATTTATACAATTTTTTTATACGTATATTTAGGTAAATGCTCTGTTTATAATAAACAGTATTAAACAACATTTACCGATCTGAATGTCCGAGAAATTGTCGTAGAAAATATGCGTCCTCCAACAGGAATCGAACCTGTACCCTATACGGAACCGTCATATAGCCTGACGTGCTTTTACCGATTTCACCACAGAGGAGTGTTTCG